TTTGGCTATCAGAAAGCATGAAGTTGGCTGTCAACAGCTCCGGGTTTTTCAACAGTACTTCTTGCAGTGTGTATTTTATTTTATGAAGGTTTGTGCCTTTCTGATCCCGTGGTAACCATTTCCATTGCAGTAGAACGACTCTCACCCAAGCATCCCATCAAGAGGCTCCAACCCTTGCCTGATTCCCCTCAAATTGAAAGGGGGGAACGTATCAGCATGCCTCTGGCTAGATGTGAGAGCTGTTCGGTGGGAAAGAAGGTTTCGGTGTGGGAAGTACTGAGGGTCACTGATGAGTAACTTGATCTGCTTCACACCAGAGCAGGAGAGAAGGAAGAGAATCATCAGGACTGTGAGTGAGTGCCATTGGTTTAAGCAGCTATTACATGCTACTTGATCACTGTGAGAAGGAAAGTGTGTCTGCTTTCTGTTCACACATGTAGAATTGCTTGCGAGGGTCCCCATGTGGCTGTGACTTTGCTTTTTCAGTGCTGTGGTCAGTGAGCAGGAGCTGGGTATTCCATTCCTGTGCTGAACAGCACCCTTGGGAGCTGGCCGGGAAAGAGAAAACTCATCTGAGCTACTTTCTCCTGACCTCTTTTCAGCTTTATGATCCATGTGGGTGATGGACGGCTTGCTGAAACCTGGCAGCAGCGCTGCAGTGGCTGTGAGAAGCAATTTAGGTAAATGAATGGTAACTCCCTTTCTCTTCGGACGCCTTGTCAGAGGAGCCCTGGTCCGAAGCAGGCCCTCTGCAGTGGTCTCACAGAGCTGGGGGCCGGGGAGAACCCAGGGGCACATGGGGGTCACAGCCCACCCAGCTGCCAAAATCATGGCTGCCACCCGGAGCTTGGATGTGGCATTTGTGCCTTCGGCAGACGCAGCTGCACCTGGATAACTGGGCTACAAGCTGCAGCGCAGTGTCGAGCCCCTCTGTGTTTTGGAGGAAAGGGAGAGTTGTCTTTTACATCTCTTCCCAGGCAGCGAGAGGAAATCAAGAGGCATGAGGAGCCTGAGAAATGAGTCCTTTAGCTGCACCATAGGGACCGAAACCTTTTGTATCCTCCTAATCCAAAGAAGTGGTGAAACTGGAGACTCCCCGGTGTGGAAGCCAAGCAGCAATAACATGGTATAGCTGCTTGACTCCCGGGAAGTCTGTCCTTCTTGTCAGGGGACTGGAAGGTAAGAGAGACCAACTGCTTTCTAGCTCCAGCTAATGTTCCTCCCAGGTATTGTCAACTGGGAGTTTGATGGTGAGCTCTCTGCTCCACATGGAGCTGAGGAAAGACAGGATCCCAACTAAACCAGCCAGAACAGAGCACCTGACTGCAAAAAGATGTGGGTTGGGTTTCTTCCACCTCCTTTCCCCCTCATCTCCTGCTGTCCAGCACTGCATTGCCAAAGTCCCCTTCCAGTAAAGCTCACCAGTGCCAGCACACCTAGGGGGGACAGGGCTCAGCCCAATAGTGGGCTCATCCAGATCTCACCAGGAGTGAGGGCAGTACTGCAGTCCTTGACTTTCTGCCAACCTATTTCCTTTCTAGTACAGCTCTCTTGAGATGAGCAACCTGCTAGCCTGGGTCCTGGCTGTTTCCAGCCTGTTCGGGATTTCCTACCTCTGGTTTGTGCGGTCTATGGCACCGCTTCGTGCAGCGTCGCTGTTCTCCCCTGACCAGAGCTTCTGCACTTGATGCTTCCTCCCAAGTTCTTCCTGCTCTCAGCAGGTATTTGGGTCTCATGGAAAATTAGGAGCAAGGAAAAAATAGTTGTCTTTTCCTTCTTCTAAAGATGCTGTTTGATAGGACCGTGATACAGCTGTCTGTTTCTCTTGAGAACTGAAAAGAGGAGTCATCATTTTTGGATCTATGTTTTGCTTGGATCTTGCAGTAATCTATTCTACTGCGCTGGGATTTTCTTCTGAAAATGAAGCTGATGGTTTCAGGTAGTGAAGTTTGCTAGTCTTGGAAAAGATCAGGTTAAGAAGTATTAATGTTTTAATACCAGTCAAAAAGGCAGGAAAGGGACAAAAGGATGTGGCACCTGCAGGGAATCTCCCATCCCTTTGTTTGAGTTTGACGTGAGACTGAGGGATGCAGTAAATAGCAGATCTCTGTCTTTCAGTCCTATGTTTTATCATGAGAGGGACCATAAGACCAGCGGTGGCAAGTTCTGAGGTGTGTCGTTATCAGCAGAGTGCATCCCACACTCATAATCACTTCATTAGCTTGGGCTCTGCACTGGGGCCTCCAGATAAATTCCAGGTGTGAGGGGAAGAAGGTAAGAGGCAGAGGGTGAAGTTGGATTTGGGGAGAGGTGGGGAAGGGATGAGGGGACAACAGTGGGAGTTTGGCAGTGCCAGGGAAAGGTGGAGAGGAGTAAGGAGCCCAGGAGAGAAAGGCTTTCCCTGTGCTTCAGCGTGCTGAACTAAGTATGCCATGGTTTATGCTGGTGGGGTAATGTCAGTTCATTTATAAGATCTGCTGACTGAAGGATTCTGCATGTATATATATACATACAGCTTTTGGCTTCTGGGGTGTTTTTCCCAAATAGCTGAACAGACAGAAAAGCCCTAACAACAAAGGGGTATTTACACATTCAGATGTGCCCACTGATGGTTTCCTAATCATAATCTGGCACTCTGCACATTTGTGTGATATTTATGGACAGGAATCTGTTACATTTTAGGAAAAGGGAGCTACTAGAGCAGGAAGAATAACCACAAAAGGGGAAAACATCAGAGAGGGTGAAGAAAAATAGAAATAAAATGTGCACCATTATTACCACAGTAGCTAACAGCTTTATCACACATGATGGTAAAAAGAGTTTAAAAAGCAAAGCAGTCCTACTGCCAGGGTGATCTGACCCCCTGGTTTGGCTGGGATGGGGCTGGAATACAAGACTGAGAGTAGCAAGAGGCTGTTTTGTCCCAGACCTCTGTCTTGTCTTTGTGCCCTGTGCCAGGTCACGCAACGTCACCCAACAGAAGCAGCATGTCCCTGCCACATCCTTCCTCTCTGGTTGCCCCTTCTTACCATTTCATCTGCATTGCCTTCTCCGATGAGAAGGTAATACTTGGTCTTCTCATCCTACAAGAATTCCTTGCATTCCAGTTCAGGAAAAGAAGCATACATCCTTAAGTAAAGAGATAATGTACTTACATAATATTGGTACGTTTTAAAAGAAAGTTCCAGATGCCAGTCTAGCTCCTCCTGTCCACGTGTTACCTACATCCTGCCTGAATCACACACAGCACAAAAGGGTCCCTGTTCTCATTTTCCTTGGCTCTGTCATAATAGAAGGTTAATGACAGTGAAAAAATAAACCTAAAAATCCTACTAGCTAATGTCATTTAAGTATTTAGCTCAGAAAAATAGCAATGTACCTTTACAAGCAAATGCAAATGAACTTGATTAAAAAATCCTGCAGAAGGCTGGTGTACTTGTTCAGGACAGTGAAATTCAAAGTATTGCCATAATACCTGCCTTATAAAAATGCATGTATTTCTTCAGCTGTGTGTATTTAAACCTTTTAGCAGTTCTAATGAGCTTTCAGAATGAAGCTACTACAGCAATCAGCTTCTGTGTAACAAGCAACATTTAAATATTAAAAACGTAAATTAGCTAAGCTGGTTAATTACAATTTTCCAAATATTGCAGAAGTGCAAGTAAGACTATCAACTGCTTTGAAATTCAGATATCAGTTCCTCCCACTCAGGGAACATCTAGTTCAGTAGCAAAGATGAAGTTACAGAACAGTCTCCTGAGCTAGCCAAAACAGTATCTGCTTACCAGAACTAAAAGCCCTGCATTTCAGATGCCATTCAGAGATGTGAAAACTACACAAAAGGTTCTGAGAACGCTTTTTCTTTTCTTCGGATCAGAGTGTACCAGTTTGTGGAAATAAAAATGTCTTCCAGGAAACATCACTTCTGGTGAAACACAGGTAGATTTCTAACAGAAAACCTGGCTGGTTTCCTCATTGCTCCCTGCGCCCAGGCCTAAGGATGCCCAGGTGCAGGGCACTGTGTCCTGCCATGCCAGGAGCTGGGCAGGCTGGTCCCACCTCCACAGCCTCCCGTGCCTGTGTGGACCTTTCCTGCACTGAGCACACGGTGAAACATTTGTGTCTGGTTTATCCACAGCTAAAAATGTGCAGCAGGCAGCACCTGAGCTGTGGTTGCTTCTGTCCCAACTTCTTCATAAGACTGACTCTGGCAACAAATATAGTATCAGCAGAGTATCCACAAAAGCCAGCTGATGAGGGCAATCTCTTCATTTTCTCTTAGAAAGCATGATTGTAGTCTGGCACTCAAACCCATCCTGTGAACCCATTTCGTCTAGTAGAAAAAAAGGTAGCCACAGTCCTCTTTGAAGTCACCCACTAGGAATGTCCCCAAAGTCCCAGCCTGGCCCTTAGACCACCTCTACTCTGCTTATAGCAGTCAGCCACTGCACACACCTCCATTTTCTAAAATGGATGCAGGCACGGGGTAAATGGCCTGGCAGGAAGATGACAGATGGATCCAAAATTATAAATGTGCACATCTCTGGGTGTATTTTCTGCCTGTACTGCTTTGTGCTGGAGAACAAAGAAGGGCACAGAAAACTTCATCTCAGTCCTCGCTGGAACTGACTGAAACCACAAAGAAGTCATCCCTCTTAAAAGAGCTCTGAGTGCTTTTAGTTTTAATACTGCAAAAAAATCACATATTATTTTCTTGTTTTTTACTTTATACATTTCTGAAATTCAAAATTTTATAAGAGATAACATCTTACAAAAGTGAGGAAAGTGTCTGATTACTTTATACTTCTTCACAGGAGTAAATGGGTGATTTTTGTTGTTGCTCAAGGAAACTGCTTTTCAGTGCTAGCTCTGCAGTGGTTATGTGAGCATTTATGTTTCTAAGGCATCTCAAAATTTTGCATGTTGCCTTTGTTTACTTTTAAGTAATCTGTAATTTTCCATCTGTCTCTGACCCACTCTGGTTTTGGTTTAAATCCCAGCTGGCCCGTTCAGCTCTGCCTAAGGTGGAAATGAAGCTCCAAGCTATTTCTGGAGGACATAATGTATTAGAAGCTCTCAACACTTGGTGGTATCTTTTCACTTGTAAACTCCTTGTTGATTTAATTTGGAGTTAACTCCAGGCAAGCATCTTTCAAAAGTAAGTGAGAAAATGAAAAGGTTTGCTCAAGGGACTTTCAACTGCTTAATAAGAATTGAACTGAGTAACACTTGTGTCACTCAAGCGTACTGCAGACTAGGACAATTGTTAACATTAACATCTAAAAAACATAATATTTCAGAACAGCCAACAGAATAATTGCTTTATGTACATCTGAGTAATCTTTCAGCTGAGTTAATAGCAAGTTAGTCATTGCAATGATAATCTCTTATTTTTATTGGCTTAATGTCTGCAGGTTCACAGTCTTAGAAGACCCCCAGGTTCTTGGCATTGTACACAGTGTAAGAGACTGTCTTCCCAATAAAGATTCTAAGTTCTTTGGGACTGGGGCAAGTAAAGAAATTAGTACTGTCTCCTTTTCACAGATGGAAAAATGACACTTAATGGTACAAGACCATTTTAACCAGAAAGCCTGTATCAGACCTGGAGGCAACCCAGTTCTCTTGAATCTTACTGTCCCAAATATCCCTTATCTCCATATCTGCTAGACTTTACCTTTATAATATATGGAAATGAACATATATGTGAAATTCTATGGAATTTTCATTTTGCTTTAACAATGCTTTTATCATGATACATTTTTTGTTGTTCTTGGGCACTTGAGAAAAGTACATGCTCCTTGTAAAATACCACTGTTGAGACACTGGATCATCTTTAATTTCACGGCATTTAGAATAAGGTTGTTCTAGCCAATAGAAAGGAATTTAGTGTCTCTCAGCTGCATAGAAGTGATTTTAAAGATTATCTTTCTGGTTACTTCAAACTGTGAGTCAAGAAGGCCTGTTACTGAAGTAAAGTTCAAAAGGACTAGACTCAAGTGTGAAATAATTGGGGTCTATAAAAGCAAGAGCTGCAACAATTGTGTTGATTTCTCTGCAAAACAGATTTTATCTAGTCTTCCCAGTCAGTTCCCTTTAAAAGGATAACTTCAAAGATGTTCTCTGCAATGGCAGTGCTTCAGTGCCAAACTGCAGCAGCCAGGAGATATCAACTTCTTTATATGTAGGAGCAGTATTTGTATGAAACTATCCCCCACTCAGTGTCTAAGTGAAGTCATTAAAAACCCCACCACCACCTTATTCTTGCTCAAATATTAACATCCTAATAGTGCTCTTTGTGCCTTAAGATTTAGTAGCAGCCATAAAAGCACTAAAACCTTAAATAACCCTGTCAGTGGGAGGGAGAAATGCAGAGATGTATGCTCGATGGCTCTTTGAAGCATTCCATGAGCAAACTAGCCTGCTGACCAGTACCAGTGAAAATTGTTGTGGTTCTCTTTCCTTTCTCTTGACCAGGGTCTTTTTCTGACTTGACTATGATTTCTTTTTTCTAGGACAGACAACCGAGTGGATTCACAACTACTTGCCATAATTCCTGTTTGTGATTCTTGGCCAAGACCAAAATTGTGGCTTCATCCAAAATACCTCTGGGTTTCTTTACAGCTGTATTAGGTCAGATTCTCTTTTAGTTTCTGTTTCTGTCTGAGGAAAGCATTTCATGCCTGAAAATTACAAATCAACACAAAGCTCATTGGGACAATTCCTGCATGGTTATGAGCAGTGAGCACTTCAAATTAATTTCTTTTGGGGGTGGTGGGGCAGAGGGGTTAATTGCTCATCCAGACACAGACACTTGCTGTAGTGGCATGTTCACAGCAAAAAGTGGCATTTCTCTGCCCAGGGCATGTTTCTGCTTGGAGAAACTACCCGTTGACACAGTGCACACAGCATTTCACCACTTAGCAGCAGCCGCTTTTGAAGAATTTTGTGTTTATGGAGGGGTGACAGTGTGTAACTAATAACAGCTTATTAATCAACGGGCCTGATGACCAGAGCACAAATACCTCAAACCCTATTTGTTACCAGTTTTTTCTCTGGTAGCAATTCCAAATCAGCTATCTGCAAGGAGAGCCCTTCATTTTCCTGAGCCTGATTGATGGCCCACAGTCAGTGGGCTCAGGGTGTTTATATTGTGCTTGCTGTTTAGGTCTTTTGAGTCACAAAGAAAAGTACAGGCTAGCTCCAAAGCCCATTATCTTATGTTTTGCTTAAGCCTATGCTTATGATACTTGTGTTATCTTTCTTTTCTCTGCTGAAAGGAGGGTAGGACTGGTGTATAATCCCATTGCTACCTTAATGTGATATTTAAATTACTTTGAATGTGATCAAGCACTGTGTGTGTGATTGATATCCCGCACCCTGAAAGGTAGAAACGGCCCAGCTGGATGGGTGGAAGAGATGTCTCCAGCAAAAGGCTTAGTGACTCTCAGAGAAAATTATTTCCTCTCTCTTTTGCCATCTTGGGAAGCACAGGAGACCCCTGCAAGCTTTATCCTTTTTAAGAGGGAGCCTGGAGGTTCCTATGTTGAAACAAGAATGGGGGTGGAGGGCTGGGGACCTCCATCCTCACCGGCACCCTGGGGACCGCAGCGGCAGTGCCCGAGTGCCCCTTGCAATCCCGTGCCAGGGAGCATCGCTGTGCTGTGCAGCTGGGCCAGAGCCCACGGGAGGCACCCAGTGTCACGGTGTGGGTCATCTCAGCAGAGTGCACAGCTCTTTTCTCCCTCTGTTGGGACTCCATTGTTGTACAAATGGCATCAGTAAAGCAACTAAATACTTCTAAATCATGTCAGCAGTGCCTGATCTTGCTTCCCAACCCACAGCAGCACACTGCTCTCGAAGCATGGGACAAAGGAGAAAGCATCCGTGACAAGACTATTAAAATCTCTGTTATGTGCTGTTGGGCTGGTTTGGTGAATGCACTGCTGAAATGGTGAAGAGAGAAATTTCAGAAAGGAAAAGAAGGAGAGGAGAGAGAAGAAATGATGCTACAATTATTTTATTGGGGGTTTTTTAGGACCCAACAGAAGAACTGAGATGTGCAGTAGCAACTGGATCATCAAGGAAATAAATAGGATGCTGTAGAAATATATGATGAGTACAGAGAGGAGGGGAATTGGTCTTGTGTGTTGTAGATAAACTTGAATAATGGGGTCACACACTGCAAGCTTTGTAGTCCAATTTAATTTCCTTCACACATCATTCAGTTGTGTAAAACCTATTCATCTAGTTATCTCCCTCCAAATTTCCTTCTACTCTGCTGCAGCCATTGATGGCTCTTATCTCATTACCATATGCTTCTCTTGGTCAGGAACCATTCTTTGTGGGCAAGATTACCCTGGTAACTAAACAAAAACAAATGAGAAAGGAGAAAGATGTATCATTCAGCATGGTTGTGTCAAAGATAATACTTGATTTTATTTTTTTTTTTTCCTCAAGAACAATTTTCATACTCTACAATGAAGAACAAGAAAGTAGCTTGCAGTTGGAATTTGTTACATGGTACAATTTCCAGATAAATATGCACAGAAGAAAAGTGGGTTTGTTTAAGTAAGTGCAGAAAACAAAAGCTTGACTTTGCTGATGAATTTCCCTTTCTCCCCATGCATCTTGGTATCAAAGGAATAATCAAAAAAAGAGACTCCCGCATCAATTCCCACAGTTACATAGAACAGCAAGTTAATGCCACAATCCTTTTTTTAATTAGTTTTAGTTATTTCTGCAGAAGACCTGTGTTTATTATGTTACAGTGTGAGGAATGTTTATACTGGTAGCAGCTCTCTGATGAAGGAAAAATATTAGTTCAGTTATAGTCCAGGTAATAAGTGAAATCTGAATCTGACCTATGCTTAGCTAAACATCAATCCCATCAAAATATCTTCAAATTTTAAGACACCAAGATTTTAAAATAAAAACAGAGGAAATGTCTTGACAGTGTCCTCTTAAAAAATCTTCAGAACAGGGAGCACCATTTCTGAAAGTCTATTTAAATTCCTGTAAGCATCTGAGCGATGTGGGGGAAGGCAAGCAGAGGGACAGAAAACAGAAATCAATACAGGCTTTTAATAAAGGACAGTGTCAAAGGAGAAATAATGTAAAAAAAATATATGAACAGAAAATTGCTGTAGCTCTAGTAGTATTTCAGTCACTTTCATCTGTTTCAACCTGGTGTTCAACCTCCCCTAATTAAGACCAGGGGGTGTTAAACCTCTTTCCAGCCAAAGAAAGGATCTGAGTAGAGATGGAAGCAGCCTGCTTTCTTCTCTGAGCTTTTTTTAAAGCACAGAATAATTACATTAAAACACTTCCTGGCCTTTTCAGGTTTTGAACAGAGGCTTATTGGGAGTGTCCGTGACTCGTTAGCACATGCAGGCCAGCAGTTAAAAACTACAGTATGTAGTTTTTACAGAATGCAATTCATTCACCTTGTGAGGGCAAAAAATAACTAGTGGCTCCCTGGCATCCTTCACAATGTCACTAACTGGATCAGCCCTTCTTGTCCAGGACTCCCTGGGGCATTGATCTCAGAGCTTATGATGAAGGAGGCTTGTAGTATTGCATCAGTTATCACTTGAATAAGAATGAATCTGCTTTATAATGCAGTTTTGCAGATACATTAATGCTTTAAATATTAATAATTCAGTTGTTGGACTCACAAGGTTGGTAGCAGAAATTATGAGAGGTGGAAGCATACGTGCATTAAATAGGGTTGGCAAAAAGATCAGGAGAGCTCATGTACTTATTAGCTCAGCTCTGTGGGGAATATGAAGTGTAAGAGGTGGTGCTTGAAAGTTACAGATGGGCTCAGCTGATGCACTGGTCTCCTCCATCCTCACCAGGGATCTTCCCAGCAGCATGTGCTCAAGTAGTTTGTTCAGCCCCGTTTTATGCAAGGGACTTCAGGCCTACTGCATCCTGTTCGGTTCATTTTTTCTTCTGTTTTGTCTTCTTTTTTCATGAGATCTGACACATGCGGTTGTGAATCCTGGCTTAAACGTTACTGCCATTCTGTGTGACTGTATGGACACAGTCCAAGCAGGACCAGAAATGCAAGGAAGGTGCAGGCATTTTGGCTTCTGAAAGCTCCCACAGATGAACCTCAGCACCATTAGTTTCTGTAGCTGTAGGCTGCTGAAGCCCAGCCCAGCCCTGTTTGGGTTCAAGTGTCCATGGAAAAGACCATAAATTGCATTTATGCCACTTCAGCCTCCTCCTCATTTTGGGCTCAGCTGGAAATTGCCTTAATACAGCCTGCTCCTGTATCATGCTCAGCGACAGCAGACCAGGGCTTCCTATAAGCATCATCACCAGGGGCTGTGCCGGACTGGTTTCCACTGGAGCTTGAAACCAGATATGTTTTTTCCCCCAAGAATCAGTAGCTTATAATCCAATATAAAATGACATGTGGGGCAGTCAGAGCAGGATAAGTGGGCTCCAGGGATGTGGATTCTGTCTGCATGCACAAAGAAGAAAAGCTTTTTTGCTCCATTAGTCATCCTGTAATGAAATGTCTGTCCTCCAGAGGTGTCAAGGATGTTGTGATCTCATCGGAGTTGCAAGGTGGATTTCTCCAAAGACAGCTAATAGGATCAGTTAATGCATTTAAACCAACACTAGCTGGAAAAACCTTGCCGTACAGCAGCTTGCCTGAGTGATGTCAGATGCTGTGCATGTGTACACCAGGGGGGTAGGAAGGGGAGAGAAAAAGCACCAGAGCAGCTAAGGGGGATGTGATGCACCACTGATGCCTAAAACATATGACACAAATTGCCCCTAACACTAAACAGCCCTTCTGCTCACTGTTGGTCAGCCAAACAGAAAAAGAAATAATTGAATCTGGGTGCAGCTGCTCAGTGGGCTGACGGAGCTGCCCTCCGCACCGCTCGTGGTCACGGGTGTGTGGAGCAAGCCTCCCCGTGTGTTTCGGGTGCAGGCCTCGGGAGCAAGCTCCTGCCAGCTCATCTCTCCTGCCCACGCTGCTGTGCGCGTTGTGTCCTACCTGTAAGCACCAGGCAAGCTTCAGCAGGGACACCCTTTTGGCATGCCCCAGAGAATCATGCTTTTCTTACCACCGTTACTGAGTTATTTTCACTAACTGTACTGAAAGCTGCAGCCCGCTGGGTTCATCCTGCTCCATGAAACTTCTCTTGCCTCCAGCTGGAAGGGCAGCAGGACGCCAATCTCCAGGCATCTCAGCTTTTGGGAACCCAGCACAGGGCTCGGGTGGCAGCAGCACAGCTGCAAGGTGGCACAGGGTGAGCTGGCTCTGGGTCCCGGCTGGAAGAGGTGACAGTCCCCCTTTGGGTTTCGGCCGTGCCTGTCGTGTGGGCTCTGCGACAGGAGGGCTGGGCCGTGCCGTGGCAGGCAATACGTCAGGTGCAGGCTGATACCAGGCTGAGTGGGAGATCTCCAGCGGGATTTGGCAGGTTATTGCAGTTTGGTGCCAACGTGGAGATGTTTTGCAGGTTTGCAGTGAGCAGGCATACTTAAGTGCAATTACAGCATCTAGAGGCAAATTACAAGTTTGGAACTGCTCTTTGCAGTTTGGAAAGCCACAATTATAAAGCTCATAGAAGAGTGCCAAAAGGATAAGAAGTAACCAGAAG